ACATGAAAAAAAATAAGGATTCATTCTGGGCTGTTAACATGGGTTGGGAGTGAGGTGATAGTGAAGGAGAGGGGGCTGGGGGAATGGGGAGCCAAGCGAAACAGAAAATAAGAGAGAAGACATACCACCCAGCATGGATGATATGGGTTTTTTTATGTACTTACATAATCTCACACACACACACACACACACACACACACTCACTCACGCATGCAATTTGAAAGAGACTATAGAACTGCTTTAAAGAGAGAGTGAGAGTTGACCTGGGGGAATTTACTAGGTTTGAGTGGGGACTGTGATAGAAGTAGACTTAGCAAAAAGATGCCATTTCAGAGAAAGATGTATTTTATTGGTAGAGTAATTAAACAAATGATGGAATTAAAATGATGCTTTTCCAGTTTTCTCCCTTTTGTATTTATCAAAGTAATAGACCTTAGTTTCAGTGAATTCTTGATAATCACAGTGTACTACTTGGTATAAAGTACCAGTGGTAAAAATTGTAATTATATTTTATGAAATGGGGCCTTTTGACAGGGAAACTTTAGATCTTTCTCTCTTTTTTTTCAACTTGGGGGAGAATAAAGAATGAATTTCTTTTTTTGGTCAGGCCAAGGCCTAAATATAGATAGTTCAGGATTGTGAATAATTATCTTTGAAATTTTCATTTTTTTTCTTTCAGTGTGCGGGATGACAGAATTCGAGTAGAAAGGATGGATGACATGTATTTTGAATACAGCCATGCTTTCCAGGCAGTTATGGAGTTTTATGCAAAAGATGAACTTGACATCCGAGGTAAATATTTCGTATGTGTTAGGCTCAGTGTCCTCAAATTTAACTGAGTTGAGATTTGGATAAGAGTGCAAGTTTGACTTGCAATTTAATGAAAAAACTAGGCATTTATCAATAAATAACTGGTAGAAATAGAGGAAAGAGTTCACTTTTTTTGCACTCATCAAAAACACCCCTACAGCTTCCTTTGTAGTTAGGACCATTTAGTAACTTGATGTTTTTGACATATTCATTGGACTGTAAGGAGATACTGGCCAACCTTCTTTTTGCTTCTCTTAAAAAAATGGCCCATTATTTTCCTTGCAATTTTATAGAGTATTTAGATAAATCTCCTGATAAAGGCTAGTATTTCGTTAGATTGATTGCCACAATTTAAATACCAGAACATTAATGACAGGGTATTAATATGTTAAGTAACCATTATTTGTCTAATCTACATGTCGTCAGCCAGGTATCAGTGCTTGACTTGGTCTGTACCCCTACTTTCTTCTAGTCCAGCTTACTCTGTTAAGGTTCATTTTTATATCTTACCACATGCTGCAAGGCTTTCACCATTAGACTGTAGATAAATCAGTCTCCCCTTGGCTCCCCCACAGGCACCAATGTCTTGTTAGCATTTCTCTCCCCAACTCTTTTAATCTCATGGTGTGAAACTGAATTGAGTGTCTGAGAGGGTAACCCATTCTGACAGTCTGCGGTGTCACCAAGGGATTGTTGTCTTAGGCTCAAGTAAAGACAAGACTACCATAAGCCGCTTTTGACATCACATTCACTTAGAAGTGTATGGGATAGGAAACCAGCTTGCCAGGAGGGAGCACTTGTTTCTGTTAGTGGGAGTAGTCCTCCACAGGGTTTGTAGCCCCATAGAGCCATTGAGAGCTTAAGTTGTTGTGCAAACCCCTTCCCCGCCATCCCTACCCCATGCCAAGTGACAGTTCAGCTGCAAAGACAGGAGATACTCGTCAGGGTCTACCCAGGCCTAGAAGCTTCATGCCATGCCAACTTCAGAGTCCCTGTACTCAGAGAAGGCCAACATTTCTACAATTGGGTTTATAATTCTTCTTAGTCCGGATGCAATTTACTGGTTTCAGGTCATTCTTACCATATACAATGTTACCTCATAACACATTGGCACTTCATTTTTATCAGGTTTCCTGGGGAACAGAGCTAGAAAGTTAAAGGTGAAATTCTCAGAAGGGGGAAGAGTTTTGTTAGCTCTTTCTTCACACCTGGTTTTATAAAAAGCCACAATAGAAAGTAATGTCCTTGGTATTACTGATGTGGAGAGAATATTTTGTAATTTTTTTTTATTTCTGAAAGTAATAAATGTTGCAAAGAAAGGGCCATAGTTGTGCATAAAGAAGAAAAAGTCCCTCCCCCCAAATCTTTAAGAATTTTTATAGGTACAAATCCATATATATAAGTATATGTATATAATTCTGTATATTTCATATACTTTGGATTTATTCTTTCAACTAATTTTTATTGACTGCCTATTAAGCGAGGCATCACACATACAATAAGGGATAAAAAAGACAAAAATTCCTGCTCTTCTGAAGTTCACATTCTAAGAGGAAGATATATACAATAAAATAAGTTAGTGTGTTTGAAAGTGGCAAGTATTTTGAAGAAAATAAGGCAGGGAAGAGGGAGAACTTTTGAATAGGGTGGTGAAGTGAGGCCTCACTGAGAACATGGCACTTGAGCAAAGATTTGAATGAAGACTGAAGGAGTGTAGGGGTAGAGCCGTACACACAGGTGAAGGAACAGTGTTTTAGGCAGCGACACCAATAAGTACAACATATCTAAGTGCCTGGTAGGCTTAAGGAATAAAAGGAGCCTGGGTGCTAGAACAAAGTAAGGGAGAGAATCTGAGGAGGTGAGTTCGGGAAGGTGGAAGGCAGGTTGTGGGGCCTTACAGACCCCTGTCAGGACTTGAGCTGCTTCTCTCAGTGAGTTGCGGATGTCAGAGGCTTTTTATAAGCACAGTAGTCTAATAGTCTGGTGTACATTTTTAAAAGGATTCTTTTGGCTGCTCTGTTGAGAATACCCTGTAGGGCACAGGGATGAAGCTGGGATACCAGATGGTAAGCAATATTCCTGCTGAGAGATAAGAATGATTGTACAACTTCTTTTTCACCCTCACTCAGCAGTATATTATGGATAGTTGTACAACTAGCTGTAAGGCATTGTTGTTAGTAGATAATAATCTGGACTTACCAAATTTATTGAACTATTACGCTCCTGATGTTCAGTTAGGTTGTCTGTAGATTTTACTATTACAAAAGATCTTTCAGCTCACTTCCTTGTACACACATCTTTGACATGCATTTTAGAGTATTTCGGGATCAAAGGGGATGGGCATTTTATATTCTGAAAAAGTTGCTCTCTAAAAAAGGTTTATTTCACCATCAGAAAATCCCCATTTTTTCCATGACCTAGGTACTTGTAATCTTATACATTTTTCCCAAAGGCAATTTTAGGAGGTATTGTCTAAATTATTATTTCAATAATCATAAACTAAATTTCAGTTAAAGTTTGTTTTTAATAATGGTGAGCAATAACTTTAATGAAACTATACATTCTGTTTTTTAGCTTCTCAAAGTTTTTCTGGCATCATTAACTTGGAGAAGGCTGTGATTTGCTCTTTGGCTGCCATAAGAAGATACCTCAAAGAATTTAACTTGGAAAAGGTGCTTTCCAAGCCCAAGTAAGTGATTTCTCAAAAATAAAAAAAAAGGGGGTAGAGTTATATTAAAAACATCCCCTTTAAAAAAATATTCTGTTTTTCTTTTGGCTTGAAGTTCACATGCATCCCTTTAGAAATAAGAGCATCTGAGACATTTGACATTACTGCCTTTTTCTTCGATGATTGGCGGACAAAAAGTCATCTTCTATTTTCTACTGTGTGTCAATGTTAAACCATATGACTGAATATAATACATCTAGCCTTAGAGTGTAATTCATTCTCTCCATAATTCAGTCTATAAAAGCAATTCTTAAATTGAATTTGGTAAGTACTGTATTCAGATAAGTTCGCCTACTAATGATAGAATAGTCTTTTTTGTTGTTTTAAGATTTATTTATTTTAGCGCACAAGCAGTGGGGAGGGGCAGAGGGAGAAGGAGAGAGAGAATAGTGACTCCTCAAGCAGACTCCCTCTGAGCATGATGTGGGGCTTGATCCCAGGACCCTGGGATTATGTCCTGAGCCGAAATCAAGAGTCGGCCACTTAACCGACTGAGCCACCCAGGTGCCCCGATAGAATATTCTCTTTGGGGGCAAAATGAAGTGTGTGGTGCTATTGGTGAAAAATATCATTTAAAAATATTTATAGAATCCTTAAGAATTCCGTCAATTTGCATTCATATAGCTATTTAATATACTAAATACTAAAGCACAGTTAATTGACAAGTAGTGTTAAGTGGAATTAGGAAGTGGTATTCAAAAGCATTCATAAAACTTCACTGCCTTTCTTATTCCTGGTTTCAGTTCTTATTCCATAGACCATACATTTGGAGATGAAAAGGATAGTTACTAACATAGTTTTTAAAACAGTGATTAACTTTGTGGAGATTTAAAACTCGCAGTTGCTGTTTTAGGAAAATGTTCGTTTAAAAACCAGTGGAATAATAAAAGGTAGTGGGGGAATTTTTTGCCTTTCTGTATTTCACCTTCACCAGCCCCTTGGCTTTGGCTCTGTAAAGAATTAACCTTTATCATTTTGATCCTTGATAAATAAGCTTCTTCCTGTTCTACAGATCGGAGCTATCTCACTAAAATAGTCGAATATGAATTGGGGTACAAAGAGGTCATATTGGTTTGAGGTTGTTGGGGAGGGTGTAAGAAAGGCAGGCCTCTTGGGAATCTTTCTGTAATGTCTTTTTGGTGTGCACAGTATTTAGGATAGAACAGAATATCATTTCTCTGGAAGCAGTTTTGTCCTGTTTAAAATTAGTCTAAATGTCCATCAACAGGAGAGTGGATTTAGTGTGTTATATTTATGCAGTGTAGTGTCATAAAGCAATGAAAATAAATGGACTGGAGTTACATGTATCAATATTTAAAAAATTATGTTAACGTTATATTGAGCCAGAAATCAAATTACTGAAGGACACACGGTACACGCCATTATATGAAGTTCGAAACATGTAAAAGAGTCACTACTTAAGTACTGAAATTAAACTAGTTTATTTTTAAATTACCTAACTTGATAAATTACGTGAAGCTGAACTCTTCTCATTTTGTATTTGGTGGTGGTGTTGGGCAGTGGTCAGGGAACTGATTCTGCTGATGACTTGGTATGTGTCTGATCTGCTGGTTGGGTGATCCCCTCTTCTCATTGTCACAGAGCCAAAGAGAAAGATGGAGAGCCAAAGTAAAAGGTGCTCATATGGTATAAGTTTCTATCACCCAACATTTACCCAGCACCAAGCAGGGAGTCAGTAAATATAGGATTAATGGAAGAAAAGGAAAGAAGGAAAGAATTCTTTATCCTGTGAGCATGGACTTGATTGGAAATTGCCAAAATGTCCTTGGGAACCAAGATTAATGAATAAAGGTGGTGATCAAAGTGGTACTGTTGTTTTGCTTAAACATAAAATGTGAGTGATGATGTTATATGATTCGACTTTGAAGATATTCCAGAAGAGTAACTCCACAGTTGTATTTTGGAAAAAGAATGTTGCAGCTCAAAGTGATTACTTTGGAAAACAAGAATGTTCTTCTTGTGTATTTAGAATTCAGTTATATTACTTTAAAAGTTCAGCAGCATAAGGTATGATTAGATTTACTTTAAGAGCTGTGTTAATGGGGAAAAATTTAGTTGCCTCGTATGGCAAATGCTTTCACAAAAACTGCTGTATAGTTCATAAAAATCTTGATACGCATTTTAAATAAATATTTAAAGGTGTTTGTGCCTTTATGATAGAATTTTAGGTTATTAGAGAAAATACATATTTTAGGTATTCTTAAGAATGGATTAAGTGAGGTTTTAGTAGGTCAGATTCTGAGGTTCCAAATTTGTCTTAAGAGTTTAAGTAGGTTTGTTCCAGAGCAAAATAGTATAATAGAGTAAATAGAATGTGAGGGCTATTAATCATCATGACCGAATTAGCCTGATTCCCAAATTTATGAAGTTTTAAAGGGATTTGCATTTTTGTTGGTGTTGGTGTGGTCAGAACCAACTTTTGTCATTTCACAGGACTTTTATTAAGATTGGTGTGGTCAGAACTTCACATAGGTTTTGGAAATTTAGAAAAGAATGACAAAATCCACCAAGGACAACTGTAAGAGCTTTTCTTTAGAAAACTTATTGTAACAGAAAGATAACATAGAGTGAAAGTAAATTTTATAATTATTTTAATGACCTCTAATGGGCATAGAACAGAGATGCAGCTGAATATCCTAAAATTCACAGTATATCCGTTTACAAAAAACAATTATTTAGCCCCAAATTCAGTAGTCCAAAATCACATAAAAACACCACAAGAGAAGAAACTACAGACTAACAGGAATATGGACATAAAAATCCTCAAAAAATACAAGCAAATGGAATCCAACAATATAAAGGATTATACATCATGATTATGGGATTTATTCTAGGACCATAGGTTTGGTTTAACAAATTATAAGTCATTTAATGTAATATACTGTATCAGTATAATAAGAGATTAAAAACTATAGGGGCATCTCAACAGACAGTTAAAGCTCCGTTTCATGATCAAAACATCCCACAAACTAGAGTTAGAAAGGAATGTCCTTATCCTGATAATGGCCAATAGTGAAAACCTCAGACCCTAACATCATACTTAATGGGGGAAAGAATGAATGCTTTCCCTCTAAGAACAGGAATAAGAAGAAGTAGTGTTTTCCCAGTTCTGTTGCATATTGTCTTAGAAAGTCTAGTCAGGGCAATTGGTAAGAAAATGTAGTAAAATTTGTAAAGTAAGAAGTAAAACTCTGCTATTGCATAATTTCATATAACATGGAATTATGTATAGAAAATCCTAAAGAATCCAGGAAGAGATGATTAAAGCATATAAAATGAGTTCATGAGGTTGCAGGATGTGAGATCAATATACCAAAATCAAAATCAGCTCTGAGTCAATAACCTTGCAATGAAGAATCCAAAAATGTAAGAAAATAATTTCATTTACAATACCATCAAAAAGAATAAAATATTTAATGCATTTAACAAAAGAAATATAAAACCTGTATTCTGAAAACTATAGAACACTGTTGAAAGAAATTAAAAGAAGACCCGAGTAAGTGGAAAGGCATCCTAGGTTTGTGGATCAGCAGACTTAATCTTACTAAGATGGCAGTATTCCTAACTGATCTACAGGTTCAGTGTAATTGTACCAAAATCCCAGCTAGTTTTTTTGCAGAAACCGACAAACTGATCCTAAAATTTTATGAAAATTCAAGGGCCAAAGAATAGCTGTAGCAATTTTGAAAAAAGAATAACAGAATCAGAAGATTCACATTCCTGTTTGAAAACTTGTAGCAAGGGAAAAGTCGCTGAGACAGTGTGGCCCTGGCATAAAGACAGATATACAGATCAGTGAAATAGAATTGAGAGTCCAGAAATAAACTACACACGTAGTGTCAGTTGATTTCCAACAAGGCTGTTAAAGCATTCAGTGGTGGAAAGAATAGTTGTTTGTTTTTTTTCCCCCCAATAAAAGGCCCTGTTTGAACCCTGGTTATTGTTGGACCTCGTGTTTTTTTGTGTTTCTTTCCCTGTCCTCATGGCTAACTGGTTATCTATGCAGAAGAGTGAGTTTTTGATTACCTTACCTCATGTCCTAATAAAAAATAACTCAAAGTGGACCGAAGACCAAATGTAAGAGCTGAAACTATTAGCTCTTAGAAGAAAACATGGGTGTAAAAATCTTCATGACCTTTGATTAGGGAATAGTTTCTTAGCTGTGAAACCAAAAGCATAAGTGGCAAAAGAAAAAAGAGAAAATATTGGACTTCACAATGAAAAACTTGCTCTTCAAAGCCTACCGTCAAGAGAATGAAAAGACAATCCACTGAATAGTAGAAAAACTTTGTATAGAGACCTATGTCCAGAATATATGAAGAACTCTTATAAATCAATGGTAAAAAGACAGATAACCCAATTAAAAAATGGACAAAGAATCTGAATAGGCATTTCTCCAAAGAACTTGTACAAATGACGAATAAGCACATGAAAAAAATGCTTAGCATCATTAGGCATCAGATAAATTCAAATCAAAGCCACAATGAGATACTACTTCATGTCCACTAGAATAGCTATAATAATAATTTAAAAAACCAGACAGGTGTTGGTGTGAATGTGGGCAAATTAGAACCCTCATACATTGCCAGTGGGAAGGTAAAATGGTTATAACCACCTTGGAAAACACTGTGGTAGTTCCTCACAGTGTTTGGACTTAACCGTATAATCCAGCTATTTCACTCCTAGATGTGTACTCAACACAATGAAAGTGTATGTCCACACAAAAATTTGTATGTGACTGTTCATAACAGTATCATTCATAGTAGCCAAAAAGTGGAAACAATCCATATGTCCATCCATTGGTGAATAGATAGATAAAATATAGAATATGCATAAAATGGAATATAATTCAACCATAAAAAAGGAATGACATACTGGTACATGCTACAACATAGATGAACCTTGAAAATATTATGGTAAGTTAAAGAAGCCATCACAAAAGACCACACACATAACTGTATGATTCCACTTATATGAAATATCCAGAATAGGCAAATCCATAGAGAGAGAAAG